GTTTTACTTCTCCGACGGGCCGGTTCTGACGTTACCAGCTAAAAACTTTTTGATTCCGGTCAACGGCGCCGGAACTTTTTGCCTCGCTTTTGCTCCGTCGCCGTCGGGACTTTCCATAATCGGAAACATCCAGCAGGAAGGTATTCAAATTTCAATCGATGGGGCCAATGGTTTCGTGGGATTTGGCCCAAATGTTTGCTAAATAAGCAAATTCTATATTAAGATTTGGAATACAGTCTTTAAAAATCACATTATTATTTTGTTTCAAAGCTAATAGATAAATCACATGTAAATAAAATAATGTTTATTTGGCATTATTATAGTTTCTATATGGTAAAAAAAATATATAGTTTCTATTAATGTAGCATTTTGCTTTTTGTAATGTAATATAAAAATATTATTTTTTCTTGTCATATATTACCCGTCGCGTTGAAAACAATTCATATATTTATCTGTCTGTCCATCTCGATTTTTATATTGTCATATTAAAAAATATACATAAAAAAGTAATAATTTTTAACGTCCATAATTTATCAAAAAAATTTAGTAGCCGACCACAACATAAATTCCAATTCAATGAAGACGACATCTCATTACTACCCGGTATGAGATATCACATTATTCGATGAATTCTAGATGTTGTTAGGTAAAGGGTAGTCTACTAAGGTGTTCTGATTTTATTATTAATAATAATAAAGATATTTGAAAAAATGGCTAAAAAAAAGATTGAATAACCAATTACAACCTCAGCATTTGAAAAAAAAAAAAATCGGTTTCTATGATTAAAAAAAACAGAAAATTAATGGAGAAATTTTGTAAAAAAAACCAATAACAAGTACATTTTAATTTAATTGAACACTAGTTTGTTTTTTATTTTTCAATAAACATTATTATGAATTAGAATATTGATATCGATATGATATTGAGACTGAGATTTTATGAATATATATCAATAAAATAATAATGATCATATTTTATAAGTATTTAAAAAATGAACGAAACATATTATAAATTTGACATTATAAGTTTAGGACATAATGACAAATATATTTAATCTTATGATGTCCGTGTTTGATAGTGTCACAAGTGCTACAGTGGGCGTATGAATGATGGGATTGAAAAGCAGAATTATAGGATGGACATGTGAAGGCATCACGAGGTGAAGAACTCTTTTGGTTCACTATTTCTTTGTGGCCCTATGTAAATTGCACCATGTTCTTAACGACAAAACAAACATTAATATTTAATACGATATGTTTTTTTTTTTCTGTCTAAGTTCGCTAATAAATTATTTATGAAATTTTTAATTATTATAATCAATTTTGGTTATTTGAAAGTCATATTTAGAAGTATAAAATCAAACAGATGGCACTTGTTTTACTTTCAATTGATGTGGGATCTCACAGTGTCTTAATCGACCATATGACCATGTCGTCTACTAAAATTGTGTTAATTGTGTTAAATGATTGTGATTAGACGAGAAAATAATTGAGAGAGAGAAATACAGAGGAATTTTTGGTTGTTATTTGACAGATGTATTTGTCCAAAAGGACAGACAACTTCTGAGAGTGTTTTGTGTGGTGTGTGGTTTTTAATAACTTTACGTGGCTGTCCTTTTTATCCTTTTGACTTTGTGTGCATGTATTTTTAAAAAAATAAATAAACGGCGGATAATACGTGGAATACACGTGGCATGAGGTGGCAATAAAAATAAACTCATCTGTGATAAATGGAAATTCAAAATGTATGGCAAAATGAAAAAGACGACATATAATATCAAAAAAATTATAATATTGTTTTATTAATTTTAGAAAATATAAATAATAATTTTATTTTAAAATGAAAAAAATAAAAAGGAAAATGCTATAATTTATGCATTTTTTAAAAAAAAATGGTAGGCTTTTTTTTTTTTTTTTTTTTTCCGACTAAATAAATTGGCTGTGGTAGATTGTGATGGATCAATGAACTTTTATTTGCAAATTTCTGAATATGTAAAAATGACAGTTCGAGCTGTGGCGGTTCTTTCAAAGTCCAACACAAAATCTGTCGGATCTTTTAAAAAACGGGAGAAAACAAATAACACTACGGTAATAATAACATAAAATTACAGCAAAATGGTTCTTTATACTATATTTTTTTAACTATTCATTACGGTTAAGAATCAGAAATAGAAGTGGGATACTAATAGAAGCGAGTAAGACTATTACAATAGTAGTAATGCTAGGCTCACAAACTTACGACTTGTGGTGATGTATGGACTAGTCGGGGACTTGTGATTTGTGACTTGAGGACTAGTAGTGGTTGCTTAAGGTTTGGAAGCAATGACGATGGTTTGGAAGCAGGAAGTTGTGGTTGTTGTGGTTCTCGATTGGACTTGCAGAAGGTTGGCAATTATGAAGGCTCCTAATGAAACTTATCACGATGGATGATTAGTGGTGTAAAGACTTCACTGATTGAGTTAGGGTTTGGCTTTAGGCTCTAATACCATGTTAAGAATAAAAAATAGAAGTGAGATCGAAAGTGCTATAAATATAGTTGGGTCTAAAGTCACGATCGGATCTAAAGTCCAATATTCATTAATGTTCGCATAGATATCATCTACTAACTAAATCCTAAATAAAATTAACAAAATCAGAAGATAAAGATAAAATATATTAAATATACTATTAACCAATTCCTAAACCTAAGAGAAAATCTAACCAAAATATATTTCAATAAGTACAGATATAATATATATGGTTTCATATAGTCTCAAAATCAAACTCATAAACTTCCCCCGAACATTTTAAGAATTTATAACTTTTATACATAATTTGTAACCATTAAAGAACAAAATATCTTAAAACCCTTATTGCATCAGACTTGATTCTTCTTAATATGAAATTGATTACCGCTTGAGTTCAATTTTAATAAAATTATACTAGGTAATTTGAATAACTTGAGTTCAATTTTAATAGAATTTTACCGTCGAACAGCCCCACAGCCTGGGCCTCTCTCTCTCTCTCTCTCGTGGGCTAACCAATGCACCCCTAGGAGAGTCTAATTCATCTTTCGTCTCCCTTCGCCCCTTCCCTGGATTTCCCCTATTTCTTCTGGAACAGTAACAAACGCAATTTGAGGAAGAGCCCAGTCCTAAGGAATTCTTAAGCCTAGCTTAGAGGATTAGAGCACAACCAGGGTGTCCAGTCTATCCGTCTTTAGTGCTAGCTAAACATAAAGTAATGGCTTTTGTGCAACGTCGAGAGTCAAACAATGGAAGAAGACGAAGACAGAGTCAAAGGTAATTATTGTATAATTGAGATACCTTGGTTCATATCAATTGGAATTTACTCATTATTCTTTAAAAAATTTAATTATTTACCTTACCGGATCCAAAAGTGTTTTTAACCTAAAATTTATAATATTTGAAGAAGTTAATAGTTGTAATTTAAAATTTGTAAAGATGTAGTCGGTAAAATAAAAACTAAAAAAATGATAAATAATTGGACACTATAATTCAATAAATAATAATCCCTTTCATAAAATTTTGAAAATATTAGTAAATAAATAAATATGAATTGTGATGTAAAAAAAGAAATGACAAATTGAGTTAGAATGAGAAGCAGCTTTGGAGAAGAGATGAAGACCAAACCCCATTAACTATCTATATCTATCTCTTTCTCATTCCACCTTACCCTTCCCCTTCCCATTTCTCTAATTTCCTCACTTTTTTCCTGCCCGGAGATGGCGGTGGCCCGATTGTGTTCCGACGCGGCGGTGGTCAGCGGGAAGAGGAAGATCAGAAGCTTCTTCCGCCGCGTGATGGCGGAGACCCGGCGCCACATGGCGGCAGGCTCCCACAGGAAGAGGCGGCTCAGTTTCCACTATGATCCTTTCAGTTATGCCTTCAACTTTGACGATGGGAATTTTGGATTCTCTTGTTGAAGAAACAAGAAAGGAGCAATATTATGTTTTTTTTTTTTTTTTTTGATGTTTTTGTAATATATTATTTGCTAGATGAGCACGATTCTACACAATGATATATTGTCTACTTTAATCATAATCTCTCGTACCAACAAAGATAATATTCATGAGTTATAAACACATGATCATTTTCTGACTTAACCGACGTGGGACTTTCCTCTAACAAAAAGTTAATTTTTATTATTATTTTTTTTTGTCTCCATTAAATTTTAATAGTGCCCTAACAATTATTTTTCTCAGTAAATATCAATTCATCAACTTTTAAGAATTGGATGGGAAATTTAGAGCTTTTATAATTATAGCTCTTGTTCAAACATTTTTTATTTGAGTTATTTTAATTATTTCATATCTTCGATTTAATATTCAAATATATCGCCTTTTCCTACTTTTTTTTTCAATAACAATGATATATTGGTAATTTAATTTTTTTAAATTAAATTAGATATATATTGTCCGTTTTGACCCATTGCAAACACCGAATGATGTGCCAGCAAGGACACTGCTCTCCAAATGGTATCATAGCCAAAGCTCATTGCTAACCGCTATTGTTGGCTTTGGCCTCTATTAGGTAGCTCGTAGGTGGAAATATTTTAGGAAATAATTATAAATTAATTTAAAAACGGTAGTATATAGAAAATAATGTTATCCAATTTTCTATTCTAACCCAGCAGCCTAGTGAGTAGCTTTCTTTAAAAAGAAAATAAAAAAGCCCACTACTTAATTTTGCATTGGGCTCTTAGGTCAACGTAGAAGCCCATTTACCCAACGTACGGCCCATATTAAGTTTCCAAGGCCCAAGGCCCAAAATCCTCCTACTATTTTGTCTCGAAGTGGAACAAATTTTTTTTTTTTTTTAATGCTTTTTAAATAAAGTCTCTTTTTCGATTTTAAAATAAAAAATTTAGGAAGGATTTTAAATAATTAAAAAAAAAAAAAGTTCTAAAAATTTGGATTAATATAGAAAATATTTAGAAAAAAAAACTTGAGAAATGGAATAGAACCAAATAAGAAAATAAAGTTGTTATATGTTTTTCCTCTCCTCGAGGGAGGAGTATCAAATTTCATGAAGTAAACAAGATAAGTTAACCATATAATCAAAATCAACGAGAAGATGAAGAAGAAGAAAGAAAAAGAAATGGAAATTATTATCTATTTTAAGGAGCAGATCGGAGGTCTGGATCCCTAGCTCCTCGCCGTGGGGGCTCATTTGAGACGATGAGCGGTAATAAACGAGCGATTCTCGTTATGGGCAGTCGTTTTTTCTTCTCTGCTTTCACTGCTTCGTCGTCGTTTTCCATTCGTTTGCTTCTCTACAGGGTGGCAATGGCGTCCCACAAAGGCACAGATTATGGGCATAAGCGGCGGCTGGAAACACATTTAACGGCCTCCCTTGTGGGATTTTGCCGCACAATCTGTTCGATCTGAAGTTCGCATGTCGAAGCCACTGGATTGCCAACAAGGTGTTTGGTATTTTGCCTGTGAGAGAATTAATGGAGATATCCAGCCATTGAAGCTTTGCCAGAGCGCCAACACTCGTGGGGATTGTTCCTTGTATTTGATTTCTTGATATATCTAACTTTGTTAACTCTTCTATGTTCGAGATTGAGCTCGGAATGCGGCCGCTGATCTTGTTTCCCCCAATGTTGAGGACCTTCAATCCCAAGCCAGAGTTCATCTCTGGAATAGCGCCGGTAATTTCATTCTTTGATACATCAATTACCTCTAAGAATCCACTGGTTTTACCATTTAAGATGTTAGAAAGTGACCCAGAAATCTGATTTGAGTGAAGATCGAGAGAGGATAGAGCATTTGGCAATCTGAGTTCTGAGAGGTTAAATTTCAGCTGGTTGTTTGAGAGCTTGAGTTTTTGCAGGCTTGACATGTTTGTCAAGAAATTTGATATCCCATCTGTAAATTGATTGTCTGAGAGGTCTATGGAAGTTATAGAATCAGGTGCTCTGAAGATGGGGAGGGCTCCCCTGAGGCCACACCCAGCAAGATGCACTGCCGAGAGTTGCTTGTCTCTGATCCAACCAGGAACTGTCCCAAAAACAAAGCTGTTATAAGAGAGATCTATTGTCAAGAGTGATGGAATGTTGCTTGCAAGAATGGTTGGCAATGGATCCGACAGCCCATTTCTTGATAGATTAAGGTTCCATAGATTCTGAAGCTTTGAAATGGATGCTGGAATCTGACCTCTAAGCTGATTGCCACTGAGAGAGAGAGTATTGATGGATTTGAGGCCTTGAACTTGGACTGGAATGGTTCCTGTGAGTCTGTTGTTGCTTAATAACAAGTCCAAAAGCTTGGGCAAGCTGAAAATGGAGATGGGTATTGGCCCTGAAAGCTGGTTGTTTGAGAGATCAATATAAGTGAGGTTTTTGAACTGACCCACATGATCAGGGAGGGCACCAGAGAGCTCGTTGGAGCTAAGATCAAAATATTCCAAGCTAGGGAACGTCTTGAAAGTCTGTGGGATTGGACCAGAAAGTGAATTTCTAGCTAAATTTAGCTGGACAAGGTTCATAAGGTTACCTATGGAGGGCGGAATCTGGCCTGTCAAATGGTTGCCACTCAAAGAGAGGATCTGGAGAGAGGGCAGGTGACCTAAACTTGCAGGGATGGTTCCTCCAAGGGCATTGTCCTCTAGGACAAGCTGGGTCAAACGAGACAGGGCTGTGAAACTCTCAGGAATTGAGCCACGGATATGCTTCATTCCACTTATCACAATTACCTCAAGAAAATGCAGATTGCCAAGAGCAGCAGACAATGTACCCTTCATGAACAGCTCACTGTTCTTCTCTGGTCTCTGCAACTGCAAGCTTGTCACTCTCCCCGTTGCGCCACACGCCACCCCTTCCCAATCACCACTGCAACAATCGCTACCTGTCCACGACGCAAGGATATCCGTTGTGTCCTGCACAATTCTGGCCTTGAAGTTCATCAATGAAGCTCTATCTTCCTCTGCACAAACCGGGGCCATCGTAGGCATCGACACGGCCAGTGACACACAACACAACCAGAGAAAAACAAGCAATACCCATTTGAGAGAGTGCATTTTTGAGAGATGGGTGATGATAAGATCCGAGAATTGTGGTGAAATGAAGAAGAGGGAGAGGGAAAAAGGTGGAAAAAGTGATGGACAGACAGAGAGACAACCAATTTTATTCTATTCTTTCACGTAGACAAGAAGGAATAATGATGAAAAGGAATTGGAGTAAGTATTTATAAAGAACAAAAGAGGAAGAAGAGGAAGAAGAAGAAGAAGAAGAAGAAGAAGAAGAAGAAGAAGAAGAAGAAGAAGGAAGTGCTTTTTGGAGAAAGTGAAAGAGTAAGAAATTTGTAAATTAAAGTTTGAATTTCATAAGCTTAAATAGTTTCACATGCAGAGGTTTATTTACTTATTTATTTATTTTAATATTTAAATTTATAGCCGTTGGATCACAAGGATCCCAATTACATTTGAAAGTTGGAGCGCACTGTATTCAAATTCCTTAGCCTTTGAACAAAAATCAAACCTCACATTTACTTATCATACTTATTTCCAGGACCCATCATTTCTTTTTTTTTTTTTTTTTTTCAACTTTTAGTTAATTAATTACGGATTAGGTCCTTAATTATCATTTTAAAGTTGACCTAAATTTGATCGGGTCAGTGTTTTGGGTAAAAATATCATCTATTTAATTATGAGCATCACAGAACATTGACACTACAACAGAGACGTGAAACGGGTGCAAAGGATGCTCGAGTTTCAATTTCTATTATGAATAACTGTCACATCATTTTATGTCTCAATTTTTGCTCGTCAAGTATTATAACAAGTTTATATTCTAAGAGCAACTATAAAACGTTTATGAAATGTCAATGGTAATATTATAACTTTAGAAAGAATCGAAACATTTTTTATTATATAGTTTGTTTATGTTTGATTGTATTGTAATGATTTGGTAGGAACACTTTTTAAGTTTTTTATTTATTTTTTTCTAAAGGCATGTTGAACTTTGGAGTGAGATTTATTTATTCATGAAATAGTCACAATGATGATACCATTTATTAAAGCATATACCAAAGTGTGATTAATAATAATGATAATAATAATAATACAACACTTTCACTTATGCAAAAACCTTGGACTTTGTGAACTGCCCCATTTCCAAATACATACAATTATGGACACTCATTATTTGAATAAGCAATAAAATTTTAATTATTAATTTTGATTTTTGGGTAGAAATCCCTATGTTTTTTTTTTTTATTTGATTTCTATTATTTTTGTTATTGATATGGATTGATTTTACTTTGAGCTTTTTAATTATCGAAAAATAATTATGATAAGACACTAATAATAAACGACAAAAATTTATATAAATTCTTGATCTTCTTAAACCATTCAACTTAAATTTTGAGATGAGTAAATCTCTTTTATTTCATGGAAAATATAGATTAAAAATGTAACACCCGCTCATCGTCAACGCGATTAACAGGAGTTACCATCATCAACGACAACATACTCTAACACCCAATCATAATCTTTAAAATATTAAAAAAAACATCCAGTAAAACATTTAAAACCAGTGCTATTTAAACTTAAAACAACCGAAGTAAATTCTTGACAGCGAAAACATAATTACATAACAGACCCAGACATGGATTCCCAGTAGTCTCTAGCCCGCTGGTCTCGTCCTCGGCTGGCCTGCAGCGTCTACATCTGGAAAGAAAAGTTATGATAATTCTGATGAGTAATTAGATTACTCAGTAAGTAGCTAGCATATCATTCACAGGTTCATAACTAATCTTTCCAGGTGGTTTCACGTTTTATTTACCACTGACTCCTAGTTTTCTTACTAGGGTCATCTGTTCGTTAATGAGGTATCTCAGCTACCTCCAGCTAGGTTACTGACTCTCTCTCAATATGCTTATCTAGAATTTTCGGACTCGTATGTAAGACTCGCTCTCGGTCAAATACGGCCCGTCTACTAATTGCTCTGGCGGCCTGTTTATCTCATATACCAACGGTCAGGAGTACTCATGCTCCCTGACTTAGCACACAGCGCGTTGGCCAGGAACTCCGCGGGAATTAGTAGACTATCATACTCAATAAATAATCCATAGCTCAACCACCAATAAGCATATCTAGAGTCATAACCTTTCCATTAACATGCATAACATACTCACAGTTACTGCATGCTTTCATACATGTATCATGATCAACACGTAGAACATTCAGACAATCATTTATATCACGCTTACATCACAGGCAAGCAGTCACAATATACAATAAACACTAAATATCATCAAAGTTCATCATAACTTATTAAGCTCTTAATCAGGTAAACAACATACTCACATGTGGTAAAACAAGTTAAGAACGAGTTCAAAAGTCAATACGCTACTTACTTGGTTGCGAACTCCTTTTCCCCCTTGAATGTACGTTTAATAGTATTTCAACCCAATTCCTTCCTATTAGACCTATATTTTATCAATTTCAACATAAATATATACCAATTTTGGTAGGACAGGTCAAAAGGAGTCGAACGGGACAAACCGGGAGCCAAAATACCTTCTCACGCGCTCTCACGCGCCAATACAAGGTCGGAGGTTTGTTTTCTCACGCGCCTGAACCGCGTACAGTCGCACATCCACTCGCAGCCTCCCCACGCGCCTCGCGTGTCCTTCACGCGCTCGTCTTCAACCTCTCCTCCTTGCAATTTTTCCCAATCTTTTCCTTTAATACCCGTTGTGTCCCGAAGCAAAAATTTCATCTCTACAGCTCAAATTTCGTTCTGAGTTCTTCTACAACTTTATAGATCTTCTAACTACGGTTCTAACCAGCCTTATTTCATAACTTATTATGCAGTATAACTCAAGATATCGAGATTTAAAGGTTCGGTGATGTGGGTTTTTTTGTTACCTTCGAATTACCGTCCGCTTCAGCTCGGGGCCGTATCCTTTCCTCAAAAGATTCCTCAGCAACAACCCCTCTTCCTTTACCCTCGATTGATGTCCAATTTTAAGCAACCAAAAACTCGAATTCTCCAAAATTTCCTCCTCTGTTTACTGGGTTTCTCTCCATCTCCATTCTTTGTTTTTCTTCCCTTTTTAAAGCCTAATCAGGCTCTAATACACTTCCACATCCCCTAATCACCCACTCATCCATCCCACGCCTCCAGCTACGCGTCCACCGCCCCTCCTCCTCCTTTACAGCAGCTGCTTGACGCAGCTGCTTCGTTTTCGTTTTTTTTTTTTTTTTTTTTAAATTAATTAATTAATTAATTTATTTATTTATTATTATTATTATTATTATTATTAAACACACAACACATACACACAAAATACATTTTATCATTATTTTGGGTTGTTACAAAAAAAAACATGATATATTGGAAATAATCATTTTAGTTTTAACGTACATTAATTTTATGGTTTCTATAATTCCTTCAATTTGACGAATTGGTGTCAAATCTCGAGAAGATTTACCTCAGAGAGATAGAAAATAAAGAGAGTTTTTTTTTTTTTTTTTTTTTTTTTTTTTTTTTTTTTTTTTTTTTTTTTTTTTTTTTTTNTCTTCATTTCCATCTCCTGCTCCTTTCGATAATTTTTTAAAATTTGTTATTATTATAATAAATAAATTGTTGATTGCTCCGTGGTATAATTAGATTTTCATATAAAATTTTATAATGTTTTCTTTAATATTTGTATTTAAAATGATCTTTTAGGAGTTTTTTTTTTTTTTTAACTTACTGTTACATAATTAAACTTTAAAATGATCCATTTTTACAAATAAAGCAGTAAATGACATATTATAATATAATGTGTAATCATGTGTTATAATAAGCTTCCATTAGAGTGAAAATTCAACAATCAGTTGACTAACTTGTCAAGGCTAAGGTCCAAAGTGGTTTCATGTTGACCAATTTTATGTTAATAAAGTTCTCATCGTACAATATTTCACAAAATAATAATAAATTAATAATTTTTTTTAAAAAAATCCCATTATACAAATAAAATAATTCTTTAATTAAGAAAAAAAAAACCTGTAAAAATATTGAACTCCAACAAAAATAAAAGGCTAAATTACATATATAAGACAAAATTTCACTCAAAATTCTTTAAAATAGTGTGATAATTGAAATTTAGTTTAGAGTCTATTGTATTTTATTCCAAGTCCTATTGAATATTAATATAATATTTTTAAAATTAAACTTGGAAGTAATTTTATAATGTAATTAAAAAATAAATAAAACAGCGGTGATTGCGGGTAGCTAATAATTTGGTCCAATCAGAATTTTGATGGTAAAAAGAAAGAAAAAAGAAAAAGAAAAAAAGAAAAGTGTGTATGTAAACCCCATTTCCAAAGTGATAATTGTCCAAAATAGTGAAAAGTTAAAATTGAAATTCCTCTGTTTTGCATTTTGAGGGTCCCACCCCCTTCCAACCTAATACCCTTTTTATTATTATTATTTTTATTATTTTTATTATTTTTCTGATTTTAAATTCCAACTTGATGTGAAAGAGATGTCTCTTTATTATTCAACCATTTACTAAATTTTTACAATTTATTTTTTTAATCAAGAAGTTAGATTTTGAAACAACAATTTGTAAATTTATTTTATATTTTAAGATAAAATGTGTATTTGATCTTTCAATTTTTTAAATTACAATTTTTAATTTAGATACAAAATTGAAGGGTAGGATTGAATTGAAAATAAAATTTAAATTTATATCTAATAAATCAATTAATAAGTTTATATAAACTTTTAAAGTTTGGGGGACTGAATGGCATCAAATTTGTTAGTTTAACCAAAAATTTTATAATAAAAGATAAAATTATAATTTTTAGTGGATAAAAAATAAATGGAAGTCTAATGATCTAAATTCTATTAAAATTTATACCAGATGAATTATTAATTGCTCTTATTTTATTATATATGAGTCAATGGTCACATCATTTAACAACACATCAACACATCAATCAAAGAAAAAACTTATAACACTTCAATTATTTCATCTAGAAATTATTTTTTTTTAGTGCAAATTGAGATAATAAAACCATTTATAAAACAAATTTTATTTTGCCAGCTACAATCAAACATAAAGTTTGATCCCTTCTTCTCTCTTTTTTGCCCCTAAAAGTCCACTTCCATAAAATTTGATACCAAAAGGCTTACCAACTAAGATAGACATGACTTTACTT